TCCAACCCAGTACATTCTATGATTCTATGACTCTAATAAAAATAGAAACTTGTCCAAATAAACACAGTTAGGTCTAACAACCATGCATATAATTTGCTTCATCTACCTTCTGTAAAACAAGCCTCTGGCTCCAGAGATTCTTCAGGTTCTGCTTCTGGCTGTTCCCCCTCTGGAGGTAGTCCAATATCAACTGTGCTGCCTTCTGATGAACTGGATGCATTTAATTTCTGTGAATGAAACCCCACATAATTTTTTTTTCAGTTTTATTTATTTTGTATGAAAGTTCATGTTTGAAATGCATACCAAAATATGTTGCATGTATTCCGTGCTCTGACAATAAAATAATTTCTTATCTACAATCTATAATGCCAAATTGCTCTACTACAGGTGAGGTCACAAGATTAGAAACTACATCATGTGCATTTTCCCTATTGAAAATATTTTTATATTTTCATACAAGGAATTGCTGAAATTATTAGACTACTTTTAAGAGCCACACATAAGAATTCTGAAATGAAATTTCAGTAAGGTAGGAATGAGTGCCTTCCATACTTGGTACTGTTTGATTATTCCAATCATGTGGCTGCGTTTTAGATTATGCTTCAGACAGCAGGTGTTAATACAAATAATTTTCCAACGTCATGACCAAACCAACAGCAAGCTGCACATATGTATTTTCATGTCTCAAGTAAATGTTATTCTAACAAGACAGTAAAAATCTAAGAAGTCCAAACATAAACTTTTCATTATCATTGACATGAAAACACGTTATGAGTTCTATAGAACAGTTTAAGTCTCTTTATTTCCAAAAGAGCAGCACATTACTTTAAATGCAGTAGCTGTAATTTTGCATTCTCACTTGCCAATGCATTTTCTGAATTTATTGTGCATTTTGAAACTACTTATTACTTTGGTACAGTACACATACATGTCCAATCACTAAAAAAGTAAAAAAACCCCAACCTTTATTTTTATGGGACTAAAGTAAAAACAAATGCTTTTAAAACAATACTGTCATAAAACAATATTGCACCAAAGAATCATACTGATAATATTCAAATCTTCAAAATTATTCTTTCACACCATCACCTTATGTTGGCAACAGACAAATATGAGTACTATAGTAAGTAAAAGTAGTTTGATCACGGCATTCTATGGCTCTTCTAATGTTATCACTATGTGGAGTATAACATCAGTACATTGGCTGCATTGATAAGTAGCTAATTGTATAAAGGGAATGATGTAAGCAGATTTAGAGTACAGTCTATAGGGAATTAATGTTAGACAGAGAGGTGATCCACGGTAACATTAAAGATATATCTTTGCCGACACTTAAAACTTAAGTTAGAGGCATTATTCCTTTAAAACATGTTTGACAATCTCCAAATTCTACACAGTTTTTGTAAAGGAAATGTAAACAATATTAGTATGTGAATACATAAAGTACCATAAGACTTTGATGGAATTTTGCATTGCAGACAATATTAAGTACGTTCTTCAAACAAAAAGATTAACTCCTTTTTCCCCCACTCTAAATTTATCAAATCACACTGACAATATATTGAATTATGATTTTGACATAGGCTTAACTTTGATTTCTGTGTACTGTGGTATACTATAGCCCACATTTTAGAGGAAGACCAAAAAAATGGAAACATTAATTGTAGGGTATATTACGTACATAATTTCAGTGACATCTGCACACCCATTTCCATTTAGGGAAATTTTCTTTGAAAATCCCAGCTAACACATTAATGTGTCATGTTTGTGCATAAGCTTTAGCATCTGTGAGGTTAGGTCCAATGTACATGGATGCACACTTTCCCCATTGCAAAATATTTAAATTATAGACAATGCATGGCAGTTTGGTCATTGAGGAATACTGCCTCTAAAATGGAGAAACTGGAAAGTATGGGATAAATAGTGTAGTCCTCAAGTAAAGACCACAGCATTTAAACATCAGTGTAAGTCAATCATAAGTTGGAGGACAAGCCAGAAATACCATAAACGCAATGAACATGCTAAAGAAATTTATATATGGTGTTAAAAATTAACATTTATCAACACAATACAGTAAATATTTTTTTAACTGAGAAGTCACTATCTGTATTATGTAGAGTTTTCTTAAAATGTTGCTTGCATCATTCCGATCTGGACAGCATTTCTAGCAGAATGCTGTAGTAGTAGCAGAGCAAACAAAAATTATGAACTAGTTAAACCATAAGTTTGAAAGACCTACTGTGCATTCTTTTACAGGAAAATGAAGAGTTCAGCAACTCAGATATTACGTAGTTAGTTTAATCAGCACATGTTAATTTTAAGAAGGGGTAATGAATTCCTATTACTGCAATTATGTAGGCCTAACAGTTAACTTAAGATGGAAGATTAGAGATATCCACTATAGGAGAGATCAAAAAGATCAGGTAGAAAAGGCAGAAAATTATACACCAGACCAGTCAATTATCAGAAACATCAGACAGCCATCTTTATCTATGTGGGGCAATCTGTGTGGTCAGTTGCATTCTCACAAAGCTCTTCTCACTGAAAATCTAGTATGCTTCTTTTAGAGAGCTGTAATAATAATCACAGGAGTTAAGCTAAACAGAAAAAATCCTAAACTGAATCAACAGCAGTTGATACTTCAAACACAGCAGTTAAATGCCTTATCCCACTGAGAATTCAGTTGCTCTTCTGTTGTTGATGTAACAGAGTATTTCCCTAGCATGCTGTTCTATTATACCTGAATTTAGCTCCCACCTGATCAATATATGAAGAAACATATTATAAAAATTATTCAATAAATTCAGTCTGTAATAATTCAGTATCATTCACAGGAGCAAAAATATAATATTTTCAACATAAATAATTACTTTTTTTTTGCTTCTGTGTGATTTTTAAGTATTGGATTTATTGTATGTCATTCTATGATGTATTTATAAAATTTAGTATGCATTACAAACAGCTAGGAAGGTTTTTATGATGCAACATCTTAAGATTTAACCAAATCAATTAAGTCCAGTATGCTAGGAAAACTTTTCAGTAACAATCATGTATTTCCACAGCAAACTTCTGCTCTGATATAAAGCAACTGACCCAGGTACGTTGTATTGATTTCTATGTATTCAATAAAAAATCACCTGAGAATGGACCACGTTACTGCTGGTTATGTTTTGTCCATATGCTTTAACACATTGGAAGACTTTACCACTTACTGTGAGTTGTCAGTGTTCACACATGCGGAATCCAGCCGGATAGCCAGATTACACCTAATTGCACACCCTGGTATGTTAGGTATGTAGCATATGTCCCAGTTCTTTACCTTAACATATCTCAAAGTACTTGATCAATTCTTCTCTGCTCACCACCATTACAAAAACTGGATTTAGGCAGTGCTATATACTTAACATGTATACAGCTTTTTTACAAAATAATGAACCTGTAGAAACAAGATAACCATCAAACTTAAACATTATCTTTGATACAAAAAGAAGTCACTTTTAAGCCTTTTCTATGCCATAGTTCTAGGTTTCAAAAGTATTGAGTCACCCAGATTATAAGAGATTTATCAGGGTCAAGTATTAGACAATCTTCGAGAGTGATGATGCTAAGGAAATTATTCTCAGAGAAATCTACTTTTCGAAATCTCAGACTGTACACACTCCATCTACTTTTCACAGAAGACAATAAGGGGAGAAAAGTATTACATGGTTTTAAAGCAGCAATATACTGATTATTATGGAGAGTTACATATCTTTTATGTTACATCTACCAAGAGCTTTGCCAGTCACATTTTAGTCAGCAATACAGTACAGTATGAGATACAGATTTTAGTTTAGCTTTCAAGATAGAAACTGAAAGTGGAAAGCAGCTTGCCTATCAGAGCAGCATTGCAAAAAGCAGCAGCCAAGATTAGGTCAGGAAGTTTCTGACAATTACTTTCTGAACCTTGACAACATCTCATAGATTCATACAATTCTGCTTCACTTACAGTCAGGCCACTTTGAGCTTCTAACATTTCTTTATCTGTTTGTTTTCAAGATGATTATTTGACAGCAGCTGAAGCAGCCCTTAGTTTAACATTTTGTAACAAATCCTGATGTTCCATGATTGGTCAGGATGCCACTAATAGCTGTTGAAATCGTAATTGAAGGGACTGAAGGAGCAAAGAGCAGAACAGACATAGCCAGGAAGATGGCACCAAGAGAAACCACCATTTTGGTATTGCTATTAATTTCCTTTCTTTCCCAAATACCTGTGAAAATGTTAAATAGTGGAAATAATATTGGTTTTATTTTCTCAGTGCTGTGTGGCTGTCAGTATGAAAATGCTATGTTCTGTGATATAAATGGCAACATTATGTGCAAACTTATCCAGTCTTTTTCGGTACAGCTCTATCACCTATAAAATCGACCAAGTGGTAAATATCATTGGAGTTCCACTGGTATAATTAAACTCTTTCTAGTGCTTATACAGTCATGCGTAATAACTCTATCAGTTCAAAAAATAGATCATTGTAAATTAAAGCACAACAATTCTGTAATGATTATTGTTTGCAAATACTGCAAAAAAAGCAACCAAAAAAACCCAGGATCCTTAATTATAGTCCACTCTGTACTTTATTGCTACTCATAGTTCCTTTGGTCTACTTATTTATAAGCATTTGATAAATGAAAATATTTGCAAGAATGTTGGATGAAAGCAAAAGTATTGTGAGTAGCAGTAGAGGTATTTGCAAAAGCACTCCCACTGTAAGCTACTTAAAAAGGCTCTTAATTCACACAAGAAATAGTGAAAGGATATTTCTGAATAAGGGCAAGGGACTGCTGTTTGTAAAGATTAATTAAGCAAACTCCAATTAACTCTAACATTAACAACTTTGTATCATCCACTGGATCACAATATGCCAATACAATGTGGCCAATTCACAATCAAAAGCATAAATTCTTCGGAGTATCAAAGTACTTTGAAAAATGAGTATTTTTAAATCAGAATATGACTTATCAGATAAATTATTCCTTACAAAATGTAAGACAAACAGCTATTCGGTAAGTAATTTTTAGCTCCACTGATATACCAAACTGAAAGCAGCATCATACAACTATGGTGTTGTAAATATTATGGTAACGTTTAACGGGTGAGATGTAAATCATAACGAAGCTGGGGACCTTTTGTCCAAAATCAGTCGCTTATTTACTAGACTGCTGAACTTTATATATTACTGATAAGATAAGAGTAAGTTTAAGTTTCTCAGGGCAGACAATTTTAGATGTCTGGGGAGGTGGTCAACTTGTGAGCACAAATTAAAGAGCTATGGCAAGACTGAATTGTGCCAGATCTTGCTATCTTGCTCTTTGCACCTGTAAGTGTGGACGTAAGTAAGAGCAGAACTGACCTCTGAATGTTAGACCAGCCAAATACCAGTTTTCTATGAGCTTTTTTAACCAAATGATAGCCACATGCTTTGACTGGAGTTTAAATCAATTTCATGCTTAATGTTGCTTCAAGTACTGCATAATAAACTCCAAAATAACTAAATGCTTATAGAAATGCTGAAGAAAAGCATTTCTAAGGGAAAAAAAAGAAAAATAAACATAACTATCATAAGTTTGCAAGTTATGTCCATTATAAGCTAAAATAAAATAGTATTAAAGTTTTCTAAAACTGCGAGCAGCCCTTCATTATCAATACCATTTACAGATGAACTTACATAAGCTTCTGATAAGAAACATAGCTTACATGTTATATGTTCTGTCTTATTTAAAAGGAAAGAAAACCCTTCAGAAATCGCATCCTGAAAGCTTTACCATCAAGACTGGGAAAGGTACATAGCATGCACTGCAAAATACTATTAAAAGATCATGGAAAGTATACCATCTGAACGGCAGAAATACTGGGGCTGCCGATCTCGCCTGACCATGCTGTGATGCGAGTCCCATGACTCAGCAGAGAGCAGCTGTGCATGTTTGTACTTTATTGCAATGAATGGGACAGGATCATAGCTAAAGAGCATGCAGGCCAGTCAATAAAAGTTAAAAAGTGATTATATAATATATACATATAGATGTATAACTTGCTTAGGTAACCTGGGTAAAATTGGTGACACGATGCTCTGCCTCGCTAAAGGCACCAGAGCTGCCCGCTTGACTGATCCAGCTTGGTTCTACTCCTGTGAGAAGTAAGAATGGTAGGAAATGAAGTTCAGGACACAGCACCTCTGCTTTTTTATGCTGAATACTGCTTAAAGTAAAATATACATCATTAAGGTGTCTTCAACAGCATTAGTAGATCCAATAGTTTTCAAGGCATTTAAAGTATCTTGTAACTTGGTATATCTTGGTGAAAATACTAGCCTAAAAGTTAAACTTAGCATAAAAATCTAATTGTTACACAGCTATACATGCACTACAAAATTTTCTATATAAACCATCCCTATAGTACATAAGGACCTAAAAAGGAAAAATTATTTTTATAGCTTCTACACTGGATAGCAGTAATGCAGCTCAGCTTCATGGACCTTTATGTATAGGACAAAAGACTTAACACAGTGGTCCCATATTTGTTAATGGCCCTACTTTCATGGTAAAGCTTCAGTTAGGATTTGTTCTCTAATTCCTTTATTACACTGTATTACCCCACTACTATTCTTATGGACACAAGGTTCTCATAATTAATTCTGGTTTAGGTTTCAGGCAATTTTCCAGAAAATTCCTTGCAAATTCACACCTACTAGCATGTACAATATTGTATGTCTAGTTTCTAGAAAGGCATAAAGTAGTTAATATTTCCATCAAAATACTAGATAATGTGTATGTTATAATAAAGAGTTCACCAAAAGTTTATGTACTTAATTAAAACTTGATAATAGATTATTATTACTTAATAATAATTGCTTATTGCCCTATGCCAGAGTGAATATGTGTATGCATGTGTACACACAGAGAAAAGCAAAAGCACACAGACACACAGTCATCAGCACCTGGCTGTCTTGTGCAGTGTTCTCACAGTACATGAATGCCTAAGCTGCCTTTCATTTGGGATACTGCTAATTGAACATGGTTTGGTGGCACTTTCTAACTGAAGTTCCTTCAATTTGTGGTATAAGCAATGAAGGGACTGGCAGATCAACACTCAGCAACAGCAGGATCTTATAAACAGGAAAACATGAGAGGGCAGAAATGAGAGGCACTTTATGGGATGACAAAAAAGAGGAAGCCTTGAACAAAAAGCCATTTGTAGTCAATTTTTAAATGAAAAAAAAGCCTTCTGTTGGCACTACCAAAAGCTACATTTCTTCTACCTACCACTGTTCAGTGAATCACAAATTTTCTGCACAGTTTTAACGTCAGCACAAGAAATGGAGAATACTCCACTAGTAGACAAGAGTGCTGTGATTATATTTTTAAAAACAGACTTCAGTATCTAATTAATCATCACTAATGAAAATATTTAAATTACTTCTCAGTCATTTTAATGACATCTAGTGTTTAAATGAGTATAATCCAATTACACTTCCAAATTACTTTTTGCAGAGAAGTTGCCAATTGAAAATTATCAAAGCTATAATCTATTTTGATAAAACTTCAGTTAATACATATATAACTGCATAACCTTTAAAAAAGGACAAGCACTGAGGTATATAGGACAATTTAAAACATGGTTTACTACTACCATGAATAGTGGTAGTATCAGAATCGGTAACATTATCAGAACTAATCTGATAAGGGTGGGAATTCAAAATAAGAACTGAAGAGAGTAGAGTTTTCCTGAGTGCATACTTCTGATGGTACTGGGACTTCAGTCAACACCTCAGACTGTATCTGTCAGAAGATTTTCTTTTAGTGCCATTCATACAATGGTATCATCTGAAGCATCATTGCCAGTTACAATATGTCTGCAGGATAAATTAACAGTGTCTTCTTCACACTTTCCAACTGAGGCATCTAGAATGTTTCATGAAAAATTATAGGTTCGGGTTGACAGCACCCTTGAAACTGATAGAAATACTATGCAGAATGACAGATATGCATTTGTTACTCCACCAATATAGCAATAAATATTAAGTGATGAAGAAATCTAAAGTATTTTGTTTCCTAGTACTGAACTTTAAGGCACTTAATTCCCAAAGTTTCAGTACATGCTGTGGCTATTCACTAGTTGCTAAGCAGGGAAAAGACTTAGTGATGGACTTCAACATGATTAACAGGAAAACAAGAACAAACCCAGAAGGATCGGCCCTATACCGAGAAACTACGTCATTTACAAAAAGACAGAACAATAACCTGTGCCGTTTCTGTCATATGCAATTGTTATGGATGATCTCCCTGATAGGTGGGATTTGCCCAGATTAGCAGTAGGATTCATTGCTCCTTTGGCAGCAGTAAGTTTTGAGACAGTTAACAACGGGACCATAGGACAATGGAACAGCAGCAGAATGGAAGGACAGAACAATGCACTAGCCCTGTGAAGTGTGAAGGTGCCTGAAGAAGATTCCTTTTCTTATCCTCTGTACAAAGACAGAAGAGAATCAACCAAATCCTACAGACCAAGAAACTTTCACATAATCCTGCTCTTTGTTACACAGAACAATGAAAGGTTAAACTACAACGTCTGCTTTCTTCTACACCCAAGTCATGGTTTTGAAGAGTAAGATAAATACTAATACAAACAATCTGCAAAAAAAGAAATCTTTTTAGAAGAACAATAAAGACATATCTGATACGAAACAAGGAAATATAACTAAATGTGTGATGCAGTCTGTACAAAAAAGGATCTTGGGGTTAGGATCACTAGAATGTTATCCATATTTATACTTTCACATTCAAATGCGAGGAAATAAGTTGTGAAAGCTTTTACACTGTAGCATGCAGTACTGTTGAAAAATACCCATGCTAATTCTGAATGAACTAGCATCGGTACTAAGCATAAACTTCACTTGAGGTGGTGTGCCTCCACCATGTACAGTCACGCAGGACAGAGCACTGGGTTAACACAGTAATAATGGCTTCGGCATCCACTGTAACTCACTGCATGCTACCTCAAATTTGTCCACTTGCACCACATTGTGCCAGAAAGAGGTACATTTTATTATGGTCACAGTAGCTGACAGATCCAAATATCTTAAAGCTTTGAAAATACCAATGGGTCGCTGTATGAAAACATCTTATATTGAGATAAAAGCTTTGTAACTTTTTTACCATAAGGCCATTACTTCACTTCTTCAGCAGTTCTGCTACTATCATATGGATTATTAGTGATTCATATAGAATCATTTAGTGATGCTGGACCAGTATTCAAATCTACTTATGATGTATCTATATCAAAAAGGTTAAAAGCATCAGAATGAACTGTTAACTTGACAGGAAGCAGACAAAGGAGTAAATAAAATTGTCCTGATGAAATAAGCATGGAAAAACTTGTACAGCACCCCCTCCCCCCATTTTGTAAGACTTTTGGAATCCAGGGCTATTAAATTGGTTCAATTTCTTGTTAATGATTTAACTAAATAAAATGGAAAAAAGTATTAATTTTCTAAAACTTATCTTATGCATCCTGATTATTACTGTAATGCAATACTGTAATACCATCTCATTCAAAACCCGCAACCTTACATCACTTTACCTTAAATGCCATTACAAGATTGTTTACACAGGAATTAAACTGAGATTTTAATCCAACATTAGTAACCTTAGGAAAAAAAGAAAAGCATCAGAATATTTAATAGTCTTACCTCTTTGCTTTCTTCCAGGTCTGACTCGCTGCTGAACTCCTCTGTATTTAAATTTTCAAAATCTGATTCCCCAACAGCAATTGGCACTGTCACAGTGAGGCTTGGGTTGTTTATGAATGACATGTAATCACTTTCGTCAACAACATATTTTTCCACACTGCTGCCTATGCCACTAGTAGTTCCATTCCCTTCTTTAAGATAGGCAAGGTTTTTACCTATTTCTACTATTGTGTGGTTGGAAATACAGCTGTCTTTTTTGTTGTTTAGGTCTTCAAGAGGTTTGATTTCATCTAAAACTTTCTGCTTTCTAACAAAGGCTTTTTGGATGAATTCACGCACTTTTCTCTTCACGTAATCTATGCCTTTCTGAATCCTTGCCACAGCAATCTGGAGATTGTTCATTTCATTATCATCATCTGTAGCAGCAAGGTTGTCTGAACTGAATGAGCTCAGCAGCAAGGCCAAAAAGAGGTTGAGTACCTAAAAGACAGTAAGGAGAAAATATACTAGATCTCTTAAGTCATAAAAGTAATTCCATTATGGGTTGTTAAATATGACATAATTTTTCTTTCACAGCTAGCACTTTATTTCGACTCACCTTCCTGCTATTCTTTCCAGTCCATAATCCCTGTCCCTCATATTTTACTATAACATGCCAAAAAATTTCAGCTCATTTGATTTGACCAATATAGGTGAAAACTGAGCTGTTGCTTGGCTTTCTCCTCCACACTGGGAGTAGTGCAGGTCTGCTCCTCAAAATGGAGAATGACATAAGGAGGCAGGATACAACATGATGTAGTGATTTATGCAAGCTACATCTACTATAGTGTTCATAGGTGAAGGAAATGGAGGCAGACTCCAGCCTTCTACAGTTCAACAGATCATAGTTTCAGTGTCTCTAATTCGGAATATAATAAATATATATATTTTTGTTTTGGGCAGGAAATCTAGGTAAGAAATAAAGAGGCCACAGATGTGATATACTTCAATTCTTGCATGACATTGTATGAACATACAAGAGAAATTTGGACTATATGTAATTATGACAGACTGTGTAAAACAGATTAAAAATCATATTTAAATTATATTTGTCAATGCTTCCTGTTCAAACTTGCAGAATACTTTAGAAGGTATGCCACAGGTGTTTCACATGAGTCCAGTTAAAATAGGTATTTATGCCTGTGGACAAGCATATTTGTAAAATTAGTGCATGATACCAGTAAGAGAAAAGATGCTAGTATTCAACAAGAAAGACCCACAATTAGGCGTAAACATGTTAAACTGGTGAAATTATTTAAAATCAATATGCCATTTAATTCTGAAGTACTAGTGTGGAAATGCTGGTTATGAGAAATGAAAAGTATATATACAGAAGGTGTGAAAACTGGCAAGATGGAAACACTGCAAAAAAGGTCATGTAGGCTGCATCAGGAAAACGGTGCTAGTACAGAAACGTCATGTTTCATTTGGGATTATATCCCAAGGAATGCTGGGTGTAAGACATGGAAGTGTAATTATTCCACATTATTTGGTACTTGTGTCTCTATTGAAAATGCCGTTTGGGAGGAATTCAGGGGCCAGTAGCAAAGGGGATAAGCAGTTTAGAAATCATCACCTATGAGAACACATTGAACAGCTAGGCTTTTTTTTTTCTTCTGAAACAAAATAAGCGGAAATAGCCTTTAAGTAATATAAATGTTGTCAGGAAGACCAACTGTTCTCCATCACTATTGTGACCAGACAGTTTAATTGGTTGTAAAAGGTGATGTAAGTTAGATGTTTTTTTAAAAAGGTAGTTTTAACTATAAGCATAATTCATCATTGATCTTACTAAAGAGGTTATAAACTTAACTGAAGATTCAACAAAAATAAAAGTAGACAAACATTTTTCATAAATCAAGGTGTATTTCAACCTAGTTTAGAGAAAGGGCAAATGAATTACATGATCTCCTACAGTCCTTTTCCATTCTTCATCTTTGATTTCTAAATCATGAAAAATAGGAAATACGTTCTAACAGTTTTTTAAAAATCCCACTGATTACGTACCACTAGATTTCCAATCACCATGACCATCATGAAGACCGTAAGGCACATGGTTTGGCCTGCAACCTCCATACAGTCCCACATCGTTTCTATCCATTCTCCACACAGCACTCGGAATACAATCAGGAAAGAGTGGAAAAAGTCATGCATGTGCCAGCGTGGAAGCTCACAGTCACTGGAGATCTTGCAGACACATTCCTTGTAGCTTTTCCCAAACAGCTGCATCCCAACCACAGCGAAAATGAACACAATGATGGCCAGCACCAGGGTCAGATTTCCTAAAGCCCCCACTGAGTTGCCAATAATCTTAATCAGCATATTCAGAGTTGGCCAAGACTTTGCCAATTTGAAAACTCGAAGCTGCAAAATAGAATAGTATACAGTTATACGTTACTGATTTTAATAAAATTATTGCTGTACATTTCATATTTCAGGTACTACCCTGTGTCTGAATCCTGTCTCCTGTAACCTTTAGACTTTTTAGTTACAAAATTTGTTTCCAGTCCTTTGTACAACACTAGATATGAGCAATCTTAAGTCCTGATTCAGGTCATAAGTCAAAACCACTGTCTTTATGCTCACTTCAATTACATGGAAGTTATCACAAAGTCTCCAACTCAGACTTTGCCTCATTTGGTGACTTTAGTTATCTATACAAGTTGTACTTGTTGGACAAGTCGGACAAAACAGCTTTTCTTCTTCGGTTAACTGTAAGAAAATATTACTAAAATATAAACTAAAATATAAAATGTGATAAATTTAACAGGATTTTAAGTGCATAGACACTTCCAGATCTCTTTCATCTGAACTGGCAGAGAGATGGAATTAATGGTTTTCCTAGAAAGAGAAAAAAGCTAGAGTTGTTAATAATAGGCACACAAGCTACTCGCCAAGTATCTTTAACAATATCTTTTCTGTCATTTAAAATAAGCATAACATGTCTCATAAAGTTTGTCACACAACATCGAGAAAAAAAGACAAAGGAACATGTTACATTAAAGTACAACTTGAAACAGACAAAGACGAAATTACTTGGACAGATACAGCAAGTGTTCAGACAACTGAAGGACAGTACTAAAAGGAATCTAAAGATAAATATTATTTCATGTGATGAGACATAAATAAAATACATGGATGTGAAGTTAAAAACAGAATTCTATTACTGAGGGAGAAGTCAATCCAGACAGATACTAGACTGTAGGCAAAATGCAATATAATGCTATACAGAGACACAATTAAACCCCCTCTTTTTAAAGGGGATTTATTTAACTTTAAATAAAAGTTAAATATTTTTTGCTTTACTTAAGGCAGAAGTTGAGCTTAATGACTAGGAACTCTAGCTTCATGTCTCTTACTGTGTAGGTCTTTTCAGAAGAGGATTTGAACATCGACTTGCATGCTAGCCTAGTCTTCAGCAAGACCAAGGTTTTTCAAGTTCCTGTTCATGACAGAGACATCTGATAACTGTAATGACTTCCAAACAGAAAAGCTGTTAGACAGCAGATGGACCCTTTCAGAGGATGGTAAGGAGAAGGCTGCTAGTGATGAAAAATCCCTACCCAAAGAAAAATCTTCACACTACTCTCTTCTAACAGTAACCATGTAAGCAAACTGGAAATGGAAGTCTATCAGCTAAAACTCTCAAAAAGGTTTTATTAACTAATGCATTGTTTACTAAGCAATTTACTAATCTGCAGTCACAGATAGCGAGGGCCTGTGGCCCTTTCATTTTTTATTCACTCATCTAGGAAGAAAGACCTCAAGAGATAATACTATTAAAAAAGAGTTGATTCTTAAAGCATACTCACTGTAAGAACAGAATTGATGTTGACAACATCTTGAAGAAGAAACAGATGTTACTAAGATAACATGTAAAACAAACTTGACATAATAGATACATGCCATCTAGTAGGTATGCAATTTAATATTTTCTAAGTTCTTACAAAAAGATCTTCTATCTTAGCCAAATATAGGATGTACAAATGAAAAATGCACAACATACATGCACGAATACAAAAGTATAACACAGAAACATATTTTATTTAGTATATTTACCAATCGGAATGATCGAAGGACTGATAATCCTTCTACATTTGCAAGGCCAAGCTCCATTAAACTAAGACTGACAATAAAACCATCAAAAATATTCCAGCCCTCTTGGAAATAATAATAAGGATCCATAGCAATTATCTTGAGAAACATTTCTGCTGTGAAAATTCCAGTAAATACCTGCAAGGAAAATACAGTTTCTTACTCCACTTTAATGAGAAAACATTAAAAAAATAAAATTAATAGCATCAACTTTTGATAAGTTATATCTTCAGCAAGCAATCCATGATAAATCTGAATAACTTCTCTATAATGCCATACATAGGGGTTAGAAAGTAAATTAAGATTTGAACATGCATCACAATGTTTGTGATTTTTCCAAGGAAAACGGTAAATGGGAAAAATATGTTTTTTATCTAGCCTGCTAATACGTATGTATAAACCAAATACATAGAATCTCTTTTGATTTTAATGTTCAGATTCTCCTCCTCAGATCTCATCTTTGCCCTTGGGACATCATTTGGCTTCTAGGAATAAAGTTAATTTTACAAGAGGAACAATTATTTTATGAAAAACAAAAAACACACTAAAAGCTGAGTAGGACTATTCTTCTTCAGGATGACCTGCGGAAGGCACTGTCATGCCTTTCACCATTTCCTGTGGAGTTGCAGTGTATCTGCCATGTTTATCAGGTTTTTTCCCTCTACAATTCCCTGAACACCCGGGACCTCAGGAGGTGCTAGTGAGGAGCAGAACAGGTGTGGGAATGGAACTGAAAGTTCTTATGATTTGTAAATATTCATCCAAGTAAAAACATTCGGTAAATTCCTTTAACCAGCTTCAATAACAGAAGCTGAAGGTTTTAAAACTCAAAATACGTATTGACTCAACCAATCTTACTATTGTTTGCTCCATAAAGCAAGAGTGGTGAAATCCACAAATGTAAATAAAGAAAAATTCAGTACATCTTAAATTTACACTCAATCATCCCAAGCCTATAAATATCCAGTCAACTTTTTCTTTTAAACATAGGTCACAGAAAAATTATTTAAGAAAAATGCATTTGACATACACGGTACATCATGAAAGACTTACAAGGTTTCCTACTGAAAGCACACCACTAAACTGTTCTGTCATTGGATAGTGCTCCATGGCCATGAACAGGGTGTTTAGGACAATGCAGATAGTAATGGCCAGATCAACAAATGGGTCCATCACAATCAAATTTACAATATGTTTGACTTTCAGCCAAGGAGTACAGCAGTCCCAAATCAAGCAAGTGTTAGCAAATTTATACCAGCATGGTGGGCATTTCTGTCTGGATTCTTCCAGTTCTAGAGAGAAAAATGAAAACAACATTTTAAGCATATTTCTCTATTGCAGTATCACCTGGGTATTTCCTTGAGGCCTAAATGCTGTTTTCCAAGTATGTTATCAACAGTACATATATAAACTGTGTTGATAAACTGCTCATTATTATCTTCCCATTTGCTATTTTGGGCATAGTCATTTAAACCTCAAAGTAATGTTTTGCCCGTTCTTACAAGCGGTTGCTTAATTTCATGATCCAGATTCGTTGTATTTAGCCCTGCACAACGAACAACATGATCTATCCTTTGTGAAACAGCGCATCTGGTGAACTGGTAGAAGGGGACTGTTCTACTGCAAGAAGCATAGCCATTTCCGTAATCTAGAAAGAGCTTTTGCACCAAAATATAATTTCTCTGGAGAAACACTGCATTGATTGATTGCTTTCTGCTTGCATTTAACTTGGAAGTTTGCTGCTTCCACCTCAAACCTATTAAATTGAAACCTAAATTGAAAGCTTTTCAAAGTTTTGAAATGGAAATTGAAATTTTCAAAGTTTTGAAATGGAAAGTTTTTCAAAATATAACAGTCCATCTTTAAAAAAAATACTATCCCTATGTACAAATCTCATCTTGCCTGTACCCTTCAGGATGAAAAAGATGCCTCAAAACATCACTAGTAATTAATGTATCATATATTTAATAGCACTTTATAGCACTGTCATACAAAAGTTCTGTGTTACATACCTTCCATTGTGTTTGTAAGCATGCTGGCTATACTCATTGCTCTTTGCCTTGCACTAGGATCTGTTAGGTAGTCCATAGGAACATGATAAGAACTAGACCGTCTCTTTCTTAAGTCAGTTTCTGTAGTAGTGCCCTGAAAATAAAACACTGATAAAATAGCCTATTGATTGTTCATTTAATAACACTGTAAATAATTATAAAAGTATAACAATGGCTTAAAACACTCTGCTGTCCTGCACTATGCTCCATTTATGTTGTGTTTTTGCAATAGACTAATGCATGACCTACTTTGGATACAGTAAAAATACATCAGTAGAATTGCTCATGTGCTTAGGGTATGCCTTTAAGTATTATGCTGAAACAGGGCTGAGGCAGTAAAGCATATTTTAGACTATAAACAGTTTTTAGACTATATAAAGTTCCACAATGCTTGTCAATGTGCTCTGCCATAAATATCTTTCTAATTAGGCAGTGAAGTCTTTTTCTAAACATGAAAATGCACAGCCCACACAGCTAGCAGTAAAAGCACAAAGAGTAAGCACATTTTTTTAAGATACCTCTTAATTTAGAAAAAAAATATCCATTTCCTCGCACACATTTAAAAAAATGAAATTTACTAAATAAAAAATAAAAGAATTAAAATAAAAATTAAAAAATGAAAAACAATTTAACAAAATAATTGAAAAATTAACTATGTGACAGGAACACTATCGCAAACCATGTAACTTGTACTATCAGTGTTACATCAAAAGTTTTCTAGATGGTCAGAGCGAAGTTAAATACTCATTTGATATATTCCATTTAGTAAATAGAATTTTTTTTTTCATTTTGATAACCTGTCTGATGTATGAATACAGAATCTTCCAGTTAACTCTTCAGTCAGCGTTAATGAATAAATGGGCATAAGACTACATATACGACATTTAGTCAATGGTTTACTATGCTCTTCTGTTAATTCACAGTACATTAGCATATACTTTCAGTTTCTACTTTAGCTTACAACTGGAATATATGAAAGGAGCATTCACAGCTTGGCCAGAAAGGGAATCATTCCCAAGTGACTTAATTTTGTAGAAACAGTAGCTGATCATACAGGGTGAGGACATCATGCCTGAGCTATTGCAGACTTCCTTACATTGCTAGCAGTGGCTGCTTTATCAATCATCACCTCTGGCAGAAGCTGTCCAGTAGGTGACATGAGAGCTGGCGGCCCACCAACTAACGAAACTACTCCATTGCAATCCACAGTGCTGTGCATCTTCCCATTTGCTGGAAGTGGAGGTACTGTCCTGGATGACCTACTGGCCTGACTAATGTTACTGTTGCGCCGTTCGCCATGTCTATGAGGAACAAAGAGAGAATCTCTTCTGCTCTCATTGTCTTCAAAAGTGCTGTGCTCATCATCAGCAAAGTCATTTTCTGATCCTACATCCTTTGCTCGACCTCTGAAGCTGAAAAGACTTGTTCTGCTATTGCGCCTTGGGGAAAACAGGGAGCCGCGAATGCTCAGCAAAGACTGTAGGCAAACAAAAACAATGACTATCAGATGAAAATTCTTTTAAATACAATTTTTTCATACAGGGGAAAAAACTACAGTGTTAATATGTCTTAAAGGGTAAGGTCATCTACAAAGAAATGAACTGGTACAGCCCCACCCCAATACATTCCCTTTTGGATAGTAAACAAAGAGCACATAAGTGACAGACAAAGACTAGTTATTTTACTACTTTGGATTTATGAAGTCAATTGGTTTAATCAGAGTAAAAGAAACTGCTTGACACAATTGTTTCCTCTGCCATTCTGCCTGTTTCATTACCAACTGCTCATAAACTGAGTAAGCACATCCAGAAACTGTTTATCCCAGGTTGGCATTAGTCTGACAGGCTGAGTAAACAGAATTTTAGGCAAATTTCCTGTGACTGTCTGTGCAGAGCTCCCAGATACAGCCTAGTTTTAAAAAAATCCATATTTTTTCAGATACTAGTCAAATAGGGAGCCATAAGGTTTTTATTTCTTTTGTTTTAAAGTCTTAGCTGTCCCGAACATGCAAAAATATGCCTGTAATTTTGTACGACAGTCTTATTCATCTTCATCAGTTTACTCATTTGAGTAAATGTTCCACTATGGGAGGATCTTTTCAGGATCAGAGTCGAAATAATGCTCTAATGTAGCAAATAATTATACATGTTCTTAACTTTAATTTGTATCAGTTATTCTCTTGACTTGATAGATTCGCATTAGCACCTGATTTCACCTAAGACCTCTATGAATAGCAGAGATGATACATAACATAAGCAGTGTCTTTATTTCTCTTCTGAAACTTATCTGTATGGACCTGAGCCCCATTGTTACAGGTACTGCAAAATGCAGAACAACAAGGCACTCTGCAAAGAGCTTATCATCTAAGTGTAACACAACAGATGGACACAAAAAGAGAGGGAATACAAGGAAGCAAAATTGATGGGTATGATAAACAGTGGTCTTAGCTCACCTGAAGTCACTTCCCTGTCAAGCTTTCTGTAGGCAGCATGGTAAAAGAGAGTTTTAAAGAGGGATTTGAGGAAAGCAATGAAGTGTTCTGTGGACGCTCATGGGAGCTTCTTCCAAGCATGAGGGCAGCATACCAGAAAGAGTTCAAAGAAACTAGTTTGAGAATTTAACAGGAGGTTATGGATGCTGGCATGGGTCAGTCAAAGCTGAGACTTGACTTGTTTACTGTAAGTAGACAAGTTGGGTTGGGAAGAACTTTAGCACATATGTTTTATGGTATCAAAAAATATCTTTAGGTAGATATGTTTCCTAGCAGATTAGGTAAAAGCAATGAGATAGATTAGTGCTCTTTGCAACAACATTCTTGATTAATACAGTAGTAATTGGGACATGGAAAGAGGTCCAAGTTAAAAATGATTCACAGTAGTGGGTCCAGAGCAGAGTTAAAAAAAAAAAAAAAAGGAGAGCGAAGGAAACTAGCAAAGGGCCTTGTGGGAAACCCCTAGAAAACTGTCAAAGGGGTAAAAGGATCTTCTAAAGCACAACTAAACCAGGAGAATTGAGAGGAGACAAAATCATGACTATTATGAAGAATAAGTTTTCAAGAACATAATGGTCAGTTACATTGAAGGCAAGTGAAATGTCAAGGAAAATGTCAAAGATGAGATATAAACCTGAGTTTTGTCTAGGAAAGGGTTATTAAAAAGTGGTCAGTGGAATTTTTGTTTAGTGGCTAGAACCCAGAGTGAAAGTGAACTAGGGTTGGAAAACCAGAGGGGAGGGGATTGCTAGACTGTCACTGTAAACAGCTGTAAATGAACTTGGAGATGAAAAGGTAAGAGAAGCAAGTTGTATGAGGAATGCTTCTTTTCTTACAAGATGGATGAATTGAGCTGCAGCTGAATAAGGCTGCAGTTTGAATGAAGATGCAGGCAAGAATATGCACCTAAAGGATCAGATGGGTCTTCAACATGAAGTTGAAGTCAATGGATATAGGTGTGAAAATTTGTCTAAGGAACAGAATGAAACATGAACTAACTAAATTCAGCAATGAAGTCTTACAGAGACTAGTTAGACAGTTAAAAACATAAAACAGTGGCGGACCAAGGAGAGGGGAAAAAAAAGGAAGTACATTAGGAAGTCAGTGGAAGGAGGAGTTAACTTGGTAGAAATAGGAAGCTAGAGATATTGTATTCCCACCACAGTCTTGTCTAAGGAGGACAATCCTTATAAAAATATTGGATGAAGAGGTCTGAGCTTCTTCGAGAATGGGATCTGGAGGAAGTGATACATGAAGAGAATATGGATGCTCATGATCTGTTTAGGGATGAAACAGACTTTCCAGAGACAGTAGTAGAAGAGGATTAAAAAGGAAGAAATAAGTTTAGTAGTAGTGACTAAAAGGGAGGAGAAAGCAAGTCATAAATACCAGGGAGATCGGAAAGGTGCAGATAAAAGGAAGAAGCATATTGAGACACACAAAGGGGCAGAAAAAGGACAGAATGGATGTGAGATCTGGACTTGAAATGCTGAGAGGAGAGCTGGAGATAGGCAAATGAAGAGGAACTCTGAAAACTGTGGAAAGGATAACACAACAAAACTATCAAATGAAATAAACGCCTGCATGGGAGATGCAGATGGCATTCTGAGTCACTGGTGTTTCAAAAAAAGGGAACACATGCAAGGACATATTGCCACAGATATTTCCACCTTATTTAATATAACACAATTAATGGTCTCACATCAATTAAGTCATCAAATTTCACATGAACATTTATGCAATTTCTACTGGGTTTTTTGCACCCCAAATGTAGTACTTTTCTCATTTAAAACAGGAAATTCCTTTGTAAGTGTGCACCAGATTCTGAAGCCACTGAACATGCTAAGTATATCCATCTTGATGGGGAGATAGGTCCATTTTCATTAAAAAACTTGAAATACAACTGATTTTAGTTAATACACATTATTTTGATTTTTCACACACAAATTCAGAATAAAAACAAAATCTCTCAAATTCTTACAGTTTCACTTGGGCTGAAAGTATTAACTTGGTCATACTCTGATTTAAGATATTAAAGAATCTGTGCTATCTTCTGCAAAAATTGACCAAACTACTTTACAGGGTTTTGTTTACATGGTAAGTAGACAACAAAGGGGTTTAAGAGGTAACAATACTGTGGTACCTGGTGTGGTGAAGAGAATTTCTTTTCGTATGTCAGTCTATTCCCCTCAATGGAAAACCGGAAACCTTTCCTTTTGATGCTGTCCTCTGATCCAGATTTGTGAAATTCTTCCCCATCCTTCTCCTCGCCTTCAGATTGTTCTTTTTGCTTTTTTTTCTTTCTTCTATTCCTCCTGTCTTTAGCACTCTTTGAGCTCAGTTTTGATGCCTCAGAAGAACTTTCGGAGAATCCACCTATTCCACCTACTCCACTATAATCTCTTGAGTCAGCTGCTGCAGCTGCTGCTGCTGCCTATACGTACAAGCACATATGTGATTTACAAAGTTGATAGAAATACATACCACTCACTATTTTCAATTTATTGCCATTCTTAAAAAATAGTGAATTTTAAATAAAAGCAATGATCCCACTTCACTGAACCCAGCATATCATAAGAAGTATACTTTGTGAAATACCACAGGAACCATAATTTGCCACTATTCCATAAACCAGGAGTTAGAGCAGCCCAAGGGAAAACTGTGCTGTCAGAGAACCAAGTTAACAAGCATCTGTTTTAGATTGGAGCAATATGTTCACCTGAAATACTGTGTAGAACTCAGGAATCAAAGCTCAAACAACAGGAAAAATCCCTGTTAACAGGAAGCAACACTTTCCTACAGCATTTTTCTGGATTTTGAATACCCTGTAGTCTATTAAAGATCTGGTGTAATACTGTATATCCCAGTTTAGCAAATCACAATCAGAGATTTGAGTTAAACTGCAGGCTATTAGAGACCTGTTTCTGTTTGAAGTTTCGAACACGTGAGGAGCATTCGATTTTTGTTTACAGGTTAAAAAGAAACCACAAACCAATGAGCCAACCAAACAAAAAACCCCTATTGCTGACTTCAGTCATGTTCTTACATAGAAGACATAGTTTACCTTCTGGTCTATGCAGCCATGTGCCAAGCAGACACTATCAATTATCCTATTAAAGACTTCAGAGTCTTAAAAAATGAGAAGGAATTTCAAAGCAGAATGTAATCATGATGTCTGTACCACAGAAGTGTTTTCTCCAGTTTCTCCACTCTTCCAGTTTTCTTTAAAACTGGAACACTATGGCTTTCTGCTGTGAGAGCTGGGGAAGGAGTAGAAAAGGCCAAATGGTGCTGAAGCAAAATATTTCTCTCACAGCACCTAAAATAGGATTGCTTCTGTTACTTAAATAAGCAGAATTCCTGGTTGGTTTTTTTCTCCTCTTCTCCATCTCCATTTCACAGAATCAAAAAATGGTTGAGGTTGGAAAGGAACCTCTGCAAGTGGTTCAACTCCTTGGCACATACAGGGTCACCTAAAGCAGGTTGTCCAGACCATGTCCAGATGGCTTTTGATTATCTCCAAGGATGGTAATTCCACAAGCACTCTGGGTAACTTGTTCATGTGCTCAGTAAAAAAGTTTTAAATCTCCAATTTGAAAATCCAGTATTTTAGCTTATTTGTTATCATTTTGTCACAAATTAACAGGTTCACTCAAGCCAGAAGAAATAGTGCAATGGAAAACATTAAAGATTGTTTGCAAAACAAAGGAATAAGACTGGAGGTAATGTATTGTTAGGAGTAGGGAATTAAAAGTATTCTTATATGTGGACAATAAAGCATCCAATCATAACGATGAGTGGAAGAAGGAATTTTACTTTACAGGGATACCTGAGCTTCCTCCTGTTGCTTTTTCAGTTGTTCCAGCATTTGCTGAAATTCTGCTTCTTTCTGTTCTGCTTCTTCCATGGTTGCTTGATTCTGTTCTTCATAGGCCATGGCAACCACAGCCAGGATCAAGTTGATCAGGTAGAAAGAACCCAGGAAAATGACCAAAACAAAAAAGATCATGTATGTCTTCCCAGCAGCACGCAGTGTCTGGGGAAAAATAGATAATACACATTTTCAGCAGACTCTTAAACACTGTTGCACAATATGGTGGCATCTGTGTTATAATCTGCATACACATTATAAGATTGCTTTGTGTTAGCACAAGATTATTTAGCTACTTTTTCCATATACAAATAGTATATCCTGGCTACGTATGCTAAACCCCAAGTTTTGTGTCTGCTATGGTCAAGGTAAATAAGATTATGTAACTTGAATACTTTAGTACTTCTACCAGTGAGAATTTGTAGTTGCTGCCCCCAATATACATCCATATTATAGCCTTTAAATCTAACAGTAGTGGGGCCACTAACCAACATCTTACCTTCTCATCTCATCAGTCCCAAACTACAATGCCACAAAGACAGCGCAGTACACAAAGTGTCATGCCACACAACATCACTGTCCTTCAGATTAAGGGTATGGGTAGTTCAGGGACAAGATTTAACTAGTGTCTAATTACACCATGTTTAGGTAAAAGGCTTTAACAACTTAAGTTCATTTACTCATTTTTGAAAAGAAACAATAATGCTTAACAACCTTCATAAAATAGCAGCTATTTTTTATGATGTATTTGAGTAGCACATGGGAACCTAAATTGTGAACAAGGCCTCTATTGTCTTAGACAGTTTACATATGTGAAATAAAAGATGCGTTCTCTCCCAAAGGCCTTAGGGACACATGAATGAAAATAACTATGCAAGTATTATGTAGTAATGGTATTGGTGATGGTGCTGTTTATTTTAGTAAGTCCTCACCAGCTGGTAAAGATTCTCCCAAAAGTCCTGAGTCATCAATCGAAACAGTGATAAGAATGCCCAACTGAATGTATCAAAACTTGTGTAGCCATAGTTGGGGTTTCTACCAGCTTTCACACATATATATCCTTCTGGACATTGACTACAAAAGAAGAGGAAATGCTATTTTTAACAACTACTCTAAATTACGATATGCTATATTAAATAACAAAATTGTTCAAAACTACCAGTTGCTAATGAAATTATGACCAAGTCAACTTTCATTCTACATGCCTGATAAAAAGATATGTCTTACTGGTCTTCAATTTTTAATTCAATTTCCTAATGATATTTCAATGCTTTAATAATACAGCGAATAGCAATCTACCTTGCCCACAAGTTGTCATATCAACACATCTCCAATAGGACAAGAGAAGACTGTCAACTAGCATGGACAATGATAAACAGCTGGCAGCAGGCTGGCAGCAACATTTATGTACATAGCATTCATATGGTTACCTTTATAAAATTAACCTAAGGTGCTGAAGAAAGTGCCTGTGTAAACCCAAATCACATAGATGGTTATATTTAGCTTCAATTGTAAAACATCAGTAATTTGCATCTCTGTGGTACAGCTGACACTAAAGTTGACCACCTGAGCTATTCTAAGTAGCTATTTATTTTTTCTTGATGCATAATGAAAAATGATGACTGATTTCTTACCCTGCATCTGAGCTATTGCCACACAGAAGAGCATCATTTTGTCCTTCTAAGAAGTAGAAATGACCTGTTTTAAAAAAAATTAAATTTAAAAGGTAATGAGAAAGACATAATTTATACATAATGGAAACTGAGCAATGAGAAAGAATTTTAAACTTTAAATAAATAAGCAGAGCTAACAAACAGTTTAACTGCAATATATAATGATTAGAAGTGAAAAAAGCATGGAAAATACTGTTTTGACAGGAAAATTACTTTCCATGGAGTATTGAAGTTGGCCTTTCTTTAGAAAGTAGAAAGGCAGTTGTACAGCGAATTCTTAGTAACCTACCCAACTGAATAAGATACAATGGGTGGATTACCAAATTGTGTATGTCAGCAAATGAGTGAACAACTACCAGGAAAACAAGACAAAGGATGAGGGCAATTCCCTGCCTTTGTTCATGCATTCTGATATATACCATTTAGTGCTATTCATTTACAATTATTTATTACAATTATTCATTACACACTATTATCCAAATATTACCTGAAAAAGCATTGACATTTATTCAGCATGAAAACAAAACACGACACGTCCAAGAATTGCTAACTGGATCCTGACTAGAGCAGATGAGGGAGAAACCAAGCCTTTACTGTACATTACAAAAAATCACTACACCAAAGTCTGTAGCAGAGGAATATACTTGAATTATCTATATGTATTTTGTTAACAGGCTAACTATTAAAATGAAGTAAAAGATAATTCAAAAACATGGAAGTCTTTAAAGTTCCCAGCACATTCTTTAATTTGTTCTGCTTTGAGGCAGAAAAGGAAAACCAATTTTCCATAAATTCTTACTTTGGGATTCTTATGGTAAAATGGGAATCTCTAGTGGAGATTTTTGGGTCAGGTGGCATATTAAGCTAAAGTTGCCAAAATTAGGTATGTTCTGGCTGTTCCCAGGAAGCAGATGGTTCCTTGAGATTCACTGCCAGCTGGCACGAACTAGCTCAGCTGGCACAAACTAACCAAAGGCTAATGCTAAAGAGACAAGCAGGGAATCGCAACCAGTTCCTATTGACTGCTTTTATTCTGTCACTACCCGTACACGACAGAAACAGCATAAAATCTGCCTGTTGTAAAGAGAGAGATTATGTGCATAATTTATGCATCTGCAATCTATTATCAGATATGAGATCAGAAAACAGTGGACTTTTAGACATTCCAGTGCTCACACAGTCACGCCCCATGAGAGATCTAACCTCTACTTAAAAAGCTTAAAAAGTTTAAAAATGCAGATAGGCACCAAACTAGACTTTCAAAATTGTCTGGCACCCTAATTCACATTCTTAATGTGGCACAGCTCCTCCTCTGGTAAGCAGAGGATCCAGTCAGACTATCCAGTCAGCTCAACTCTTAGCCCAGTATTTTGGAAAACTTTGTATTGAAAAATTTGTTATTTAAAAGATGATAATGATAAAGCAATAAAAATAGTCAATATGAGTTTATAAAAAATATACCATATATAAAACTATTCCTGTCTCCTGCCAAGTTGATAACAGGACAACACTCACGGGTACAAGTCCTACATGACACTTTCATAAGCAAGTAAAGGAGATATGTTCTGGCTGGAATAAACACAAAATACTTGAAAAAAGATTCTCAGAGAGCAGTTGCAAGTGGCCCAATGTCAATTCATACGGGCATCTTTCTGAGGATCCTCCAGGGATCTTCTATACACGGTTTTCATAACTATTTTATTATCAACTCAAGACATGAAATAATAGAAAAAGTGCATCAAGTATTCTGAAGACATCAAGCTAGGAGAGAAGATGATTGAAATTTAGAATGACCTTTACAAAATGACGAAGCTAGTCCAAAAGCAATTGGATTTATTTCAACAGGGACATGTGGAAAATGCTGCAGCTGACAAGGCAAAATCAAATACATAAATGCAAAATAGGATCTGGCCACAGCCACTGCTGTACAAACAGATGCAGTGGCTGTCACGAACCACAAGTTGACTGTGAATCAACAATATTCTGCTGATATAAAGATTATGTAATTTTGGGATGTGCTAACAGGAATGTTCCATATATGACATGTGAGATAATTACTTCTAATTTGTACCTATATTAGAGGAATAAGTGCTGGGTTTGAGCATCTCATTAAAAAAACTCTAATAACAAACAAACAAACAAACAAACTCCAAACAAAAAAACAAAATAACAAAATCCCAGACTAATTTGAAAGAGTCCAAAAAGAGAAAAAAATGTGAAAATAGGTATAGAAAATGTAAAGCATAAAATAGGCTTGGTTGGTTAAGAAAAGACCAGAAATACAGAAGATAAAAGTTTTAAAATATCTTAAAGACTAATATAAAGTAGTTTACAATTATCTTGTTTCTAAGTCCACAGGGAAAATAGTAATGTATTCAATCTGAAGTTAAGAAAATTTAGGTCATATATTTAGGAAAAACTTCTTATTTGTGTGATATAGCACCAGAACCAGCTATAGGGGAATGAAATGGGATCTATTTTTCAGACGTTTTGAAGAATAGGTTATCATCCAAAATTTTCTCCAAGACGACATTTCTGATACTACAAGCATGCTGAGACGGTAAGTGTATTAAAAGATTATAAGGCAATGAGCCTTGGATAAAAAAGCATTTAGCTGTTCAACTAAGGTTTCCTAACTTCCAGTGACACAGGCACCAGTTACAGCATTTATACAGACTTTATAAAAATCCTAAGATAATGCCTAATTATAAAGTTAAAACGCTAAATACACTGAAATAAATAGGAGAGACTGAGTCGATAAATAGGAGAGACTGAGACAATAAATAGGAGAGACTGAAGCTATTTACCATTGTGAAAGACAGAATAGCAATATACTTTAGACACGTTCAGAGTTCTATCTGGATTTCAAAACAATTTTTGTTAACGCAGTAGTGACATTAACTATACTATATTATGAAGTACAAAAGACACCAAAATGCTAATTTCTTGATTTTCCACAGATAAGAAACAAATTAGAAGACATGTAATATGGAATCTAGTTCTTATTTTGCTAGAATAAGCAGCACGGGATAAATTACCACCACTCTCATAAAGGCATGTCTGTGCTGTGCAAGGGAGTGTGGTCCAGAGACACTCACCAAGTTCCAGAAGAAACAACACAGCTGCACTTACATGCCACGGCAGGATTCATAAGCTAACTGATGTTCAAATGTGGATTTATGATACTGGGAGTTATCTTGCACTAATGTAGCTGTATGATTTCAGATCCCATATTGGGACTGTCACACTATTTCAGGAGGCTTGAAGCTAGCATGGAAGTTTCTGCTTTGTGCTGCAATGTGGATTTACTCTAAAAGTCGTATTTAGGAAAAAGATATTTTAGTACCAAGTACAATATTATGAGTATGTTAAACTACATTATGACTGTTCTTTTATTTACTACACAAAATTACTGCTTTTATGTCTCTTGGCCAGATTACACCATTTTAATTGCAGTAAAAAGATACTGATGCTTTTGTATGTGTTTAAAAATAATCCATAAATCATGCAGTAGATTATATAATTAACTCTTACTTCTGTCTTCGATGTACTCATCCCAGTTAAATGTTGTCATTGTTGTATTAATAAATGTACCATTTTCACCTATAGAGCTATTAAAGTAGGAAATAACTGTTGTTTCAAAAGTTGCATTGTCTGGAGGCCACTGCAGGCATTTATTCCTCAAGTTGCCCATGAACAGCTGCAGCCCTATTAGTGCAAATACACTCAGACAAAACACAGTCAGGATCATTACGTCCGAGAGCTTCTTCACAGATTGAATTAGGGCTCCCACGATAGTCTTCAAGCCTGTAAGGACAAAAGATTTTTACTGTGATGCTAACCAGACACTAAACACAAAAAAACGTGATTTTTTTCCTGACAAGATAAAGAATTCATGCAAAATGACAACTAAATGAGTCTAATATTCGTGATACAATAACTTTCATGAAAAGCCTTATTACTTGTGAAGATGAATGAAAAGCTGTAAGTTTATGCTTATAGTGTACAGAAATAAAAAGTAGATAATACCAAACATATTGTTTATGCCAAAACACGTGATTTTATTATTCATGCTGTATCTCAACCCTACATAGAAAAGCATTGTTTGCTTTTGCTGATGCTTCTTGCCCAAACCTTTCTTATATGAACCTTTTAAAAAGTATTCTGCATTAGTAAACCCATTATAAGTGCATATTTGAATGATATCCTCATAGTAATCTTCTTATTATATAAAAGGGGTGATGGTTTGGAGAAGAAAGACATCTTTAAAACAATACCCCATGCATGGCCCATGCTATCCTTTGAAGTTTAATTTTTATACATGACTTAAAACTGAATTAAGTTTCTATATCAAGTGCCTGCAATAAATGATAAAATTTGCATCAATATGAAAGCTTAAAATTAACTTATATTTAAAACACGTAAAAGGAAAGCTTGATGTCATAAGATGCAAATCACATAGGCTGTTTACTGCAAATATCTCATGCAAGAATTTGTTAAACTCAAAGGCTGATTTTTGAAAAGAAAATACAGCTAACATAAGAAAAGCAAGAATCAATTTAAATAAAATTACATGTCTTGATTCCTGCTTTTTTATTTTGTTAACAATGTGTAGCAAACAAGGCGTATGCTTTAAAAACATGAGTACTGCCTTTGTGGAACAAAAGTCAGCCTCAGTGTTTAACCTCGCTCTCACCTGGAATGACTGATATTGTTTTCAAAGCTCGGAGAACTCTGAATGTTCTCAACGCTGAGACATTGCCCAGGTCCACAAACTCTGTCACATATCTGTAATAGGGGAGTTCACACACAAACACAATGACAGCACACAAATAACAGTTGGAGATACGAGGGGCCTAACACCTTACACCAACTACTTCTTACCTGGGATTACAGAAATAGTTTTCAAAGCTCTCAATACTCTGAAAGTTCGAAGAGCTGAAACATTGCCTAGGTTTACAAATTCTGTTACATACCTGTAGGATTAAATCACAGTTACTCAGAATTGAGGCAGATTTTATCCTATTTGCTTGGGTCTTTGATCAAGACCTCTTCACCGTTCACTGTATTTTGCCTGTGTTATCAATATACTTCTGACCATAAAATTAAATTAAGTTTTAGCAAAATAAACCACATTGCCTTGATGTTTGAAACCTATTTTGGTCAGCTCATAGCAGGAAGTCAAAAGGATTCTTTAATTCTGGTATGCAGAAAGGAGACAGGATATGAACAGTTCAGGCTGATGGCATTCACAATCCTAACGGGCTGGCACACCAAGCTGGCCTCAGTAGCACATGCTTAGTTAGAAATACTAAAATGTGTAAAAGAGGTAGAAGAAACATATTGAAACCGCAGGAAGTCCAGGCTCCAAATGTTCTGGCTGACAAAGCACGAGGCAATTTTTAGTCACTGACTTCTAGTTATCAGAAAGATTTAAAAAAAAAAAAAAGAGAGAAGACTTACGCAAATGTAATGACAGTGAAATCTAGCCAATTCCATGGGTCTCGAAGAAATGTAAAATCTTCTAAACAGAAGCCCCTTGCAAGAATTTTAATAAGTGATTCAAAGGTATAAATTCCAGTGAATGTGTATCTGAGGAAAATATGCAAGACAGAGTTTATAGAAACACACACATGTTATTATTACATGTTATGCTCTCTAGTTGCTTTCTTCTTATTTTCTTTTCTTTAATTGGCATAAGCATTTAATGGAAATTTAACGGAAGTTACAACCAACTTTAAACATCCGCAGAATTGATACCATAATGAAGGAGAAGGAACCAAATGATGATTAAAAGACTAAATGACAACCCATAGCTTAAGTCCAAATTCTATAATATACACCAGTGAGACAATTGCAGAATCCATGGTTACTTCATTGTTGCACGTTTATGTCCAATCTGAATTGGTGTTGTAACCAAACAGATGGATTATGTTAGGATTTCAGAAATTGCTTCCAGACAATTTGTTTCTTCAACGCTATCTTTATGCTGAAATGTTGCTTAGTACCATGAGCTGGCATGTGCCAACACCTACTGACTTTGTTACAGAGTAGGTGTATCCACTACTTCACCTTCAGCAAGACAGGCATAGTACTGGAATGAAACAACAATGCTCACTGCAAGAACAACCAATAATACTTAAAAATGCCAATAAAATTCAGCTACTCGTTTTGACTAAAAAATGTAAATAGTAAAAATATGTAAATCTGGCATTCTGAATAATTTCAATTTTCTATCTCCAAATTATGTCATCTTGCAATTTAGTTTCATTTATAACTTTAATGGAAAAGAATTCAAATTAAACTGCTTAGAAGGCTTGAAAGGTTTTCAGACTTGAGTTCACTTGAATCCAATTTTTCAATGTGATTTTTTTCAGTTCCATTTCCAAATCAAAAGTTTATTTCCTACTCAAATTAACTCAACAGATGAGAAGGACTTCTGCTGTATATCCAAATGGCACAATACAATGCCATGAAGAAACAGTCAAGCTAGCTATTTTATTCATAAATATTCACAATATGCTAGTCATCCTGAATACATACATGTTGCATACTGAGCTCAAAATGAGAATGCCTCCACTGACTGTAGCCCTATGGCTTCACTTTTGATGACTGAAGATTAAACATGCATGTATCATGCAAAGCAGTTAGGAATGAAGAAAGCAGCAGAAGCATAAAATGCTACTGCAAAAATGAAGCACCATGAAGAGCAGTGTTTCCCATTGCAGTCTACAGCCTTGGAACTATCAGAATGTATGCATCAGTTGTATATCAGCACCAAGCGGTTGCCATCATATTGGACCTTTTCTCTTCCTATGGGAAGAATAGCCAACCACGTAAACACTTTTTTAATAGCTTATTATTAATACAAGCTTTCCATTGTTAGACTGTGCTTGGTAAAGGAAAGCTGCACTATGGTGAACATAGCCATCCATTAGATGATCCCTTCATCTGTAACAGTTACTGCAATAGAGATGGAAGAGTGCATTTCCCCACATTCTTGCACAGACATAACATAGAATGCAGTGGAAAATATTTATAATCCACTTTTTTGCATGGTCACAAGACTAGCTTCTCTTCTTACATTCCCCATCTAGTACTGCAAACAGAGGATGGACATTGTACAACTTGTAATGAGAGGAGTGTTGTAAAATACAGGTATTAAATATTACACAGAAGAAACTAGCATCAGAATAGCTGTTGAAAGGATATGCCAACAAGGTAGCTGCTGCCAGTGGATGCCATCCTAATATGAAATAAGTTACAGCAGTTTATTTCAGATTAATGAATATTATTCAAAGAAAATCCATTTAACTTACTCTACATTCTTTGTCCAGTCTGGAGGGTTGCTCATGGTCATAAATACACAGTTGGTCAAAATAGTGCACATGATAAGCATGCTGAATAATGTAGGTTAAGAGTTAAGGAATGTAAGCCAGAAACTCTCATAAAAACAGTATCAAATAACATGCTGCTTTGGAGGATTTCCACTATCAGGAGCTATTTATCCCTCCATTGCTCTGTTAACACTCAGGGAAAAGCCTTGAATATGTTAAAGCTTCCATAGTCACTGCCTTATAGCTAAAGAGAACAATCACATACTAAAAATTAGAATATATTTCAATATAAGAAAAAAAATCCAAACCCTTAATTTTAAGAAGACCTTAGATTATTTTTTTTCTTTTGAATAAAATGTGAAAATTAGAAGTAGTAGCTTCTAATCTATTGTGGACTAACACAAAAAGCATTTGTTTTGAATGATCTAGCCAAATCTGATCATGCATACAGAACAGTGAAAAATACATTCTCTTCACTTTTCTTCTTTTGTGTTTCACCATAACATTTTTTGCTTATCTTTACGATACATATATTGAAATCTTGTTATCACATAGTAGTAGAATGCACAGGGAAATTTTAGGGAGAAAATTATTACTTTTTGTTTTATATGGCTTTTGTAACATAAATGTTGGTGGAGGGGAACACACATTACATTCTCAAAAAAATAACTCTAAAAACTTAATTTCAGAACAGGTCTAAGTCATAAATAACTTCATTGATTTTACAGAGCTGCTCTGGATCTACAACCTTTCACTCGCAGGACTAATGACATTCTTCTTAGAAGTGAAAAATCAAACACCAAAATGAAAACCACAGATGATGCACAAAATGTCCACATGATGGCACCATCACCTAAAACTAGAACGAGGACAAATGTCAATTTTGAGAAGAGCTTCAGCTTCTGTAACTAAAATGCAGGTTCACAAGGCACTCCTAAACAGAAATCTGAGTATAATGGGGTGGGACGTCCTGCTAGGTACTCCTCAGGAAGTTTTCCTTACATGTCTACATTAATGAAAAAAACTTTAAGCAACAGTAAATACCTCTGCCTTCTGAACTGTCAAACTGTGGCTTCAGATGCAATTCTTTGGGTTTTCTGCTCAATAAATATATTTTAAATCCTTTACTCAGAATCCAGCTCCTCACTTGATAATTCAAATATGAACAGAGCAAAAGAAAAATGAAGGTATTTTGAAAGACACAAAAAATAATGTGTTATAAGAGTGTTTCACAAGCCTGTGTTTTAATTAGGCTTTCAAAATCCTTTTTGATGAAATGCCCTTTCAGAATTGCAAATCCTCACTATTCTTTAATCAGTGGAGAAATAACTAGAATATACCTTTCCACAATTTTAAACGTTTTCTAATGTTCTGAATTTGGTGACTCTAGCTCTGCACCACCATCTCAGTCCCATGATCTTCCATTATTCCATGCAATTGAATAATGCTCTATAACATGCTAGGGAGTGTCATATAATTGACAAATAATTGTCTGTAGTGACACCTGTAGCAAGCAAATACAAAACAGGCTATGAAGTATCATGATTGATTCTGAAGTCATTTGTAGGCTAGCCATCGATAACAACATCCAACACATAAAAACCATTGTAACTACCTGAATTCCCAAGATGTAGAAAAATATGTAATGCCACACAAAACTGCTTTCAGTGTGCTTATGTTAGAGTCCTGTAAAATGTAAGTGTGCAAACATTTGCATTTTGTCCTTAAGTAAGTGCACTTGCTGAAGTCCATGCCCTCATTGCTCCTATCAGCATAAGACCAGTAAGATGCCTACTACAGTCAGCTATCAAAAACACTGAAAAAGTAATAGATAAGTCACTATGATCATTTAGCTTTGTAGGTCTCTATAAGCAATGTGGAAATCTCACGGCCTACTTGAAGACTGAAACTGAAACATCTCCAGCATTAGAAGTGTATAATGCAATAATGATCAAGAAATAAAATAGACAGGCAAGATACACGTAGGACTGAAAATGTGTAATAAAACAAGAAATCTAATCTGGTTCATCAACCTATCCTTCTGCAACTGTGATATGAACCAGAAAATGCAAAGGAATAATGAAATAATATTTTCACTAAATATTCATGCAAGCACAAACCTGGGATAAAAGAATTGATTTTTAACACAATGTGTAAGTGAAGAACCGAAAGTATTTTGAGCAATATATCTGCAGTTTATAAAAATGTGGAGGAGGGTCAAAGATGAAAAAAGATTTGACAGTTCTAGGAAAAATAAGAAGGAACAGAAAAAATAGGTGGAGAAAGAAAAAGAAAAGACACAGGAAGAAACTGCAAAGGACAATGACTGGTTGTCTGGCTTCTGATATTACTATATTAGGATCTAGTAATGAACACAAATGTGAAAAGGGAATAAGAAAAAGAAGACAGAAATAGTAGAGAGAAGAGGGACAATGCACTCCAGATCATATTGATCCTGGGACACGTGCCAGATAATGATTTAAATACTAAGTAACATCTCATTCACTACAGTTTTAGACTTACCACTTGAAAAGGATATGAATGTACCAAAATCTTAATAGCTATTTTTCTAAGAGGATTGAAAGGAGTTAACATGTACAGGGCAGAGGTGGCACTGAATCGGAATATTGCCTTCCCTTTATTCAATACTATAAAGGTCTGGAAAAAGAAACACAGAATAAAAGAGAGCATTTAAAAGATACCAAGTTACAAACAAGTTACAAGTTCAAACCCAGACTAATTTTCATTTAATCATTAATCATATTTGGTCAAAGTCCTCTTCCATGTACATCTCCCCCAGAATCAGAATCCTCTCGTCCATTTCACATATACTACAGTCCAGCCAAATTACTATAATTGCACAAAAACATTTGAATAATTTTATTTAGAAATGATAAGCAACCCTGATATTGCTAGCTAAGAACCAAAGAGAAGTATATAAAATATATTTCAATAATTAGTATACTTTTTGTACCTTATAACATAGACACTGAGGTATGCAACTTTGAAAAAAATGAGAGCCACTAAAACTTCAACATTCCCTGAATCAAATAACCAGCATTAATTATCACATCAAAGTACTGAGACAATAGTACTACAAAGTTATCTAAATTTCAAGCATGACCTTCATGAAAATGAGGAAATTGAGAGTGTTCAACAACCAGTTTTTCAACAGAACACTAATGTACTGGATAGTTTTTGCTGCACTCTAAGAAAATAACAACATGTTGCTTCTCTTTTCAACTATCTCTTGTGAGAGTTTCATACCTGCAATTCTGTCTATTTTTCTTATGTCATGCTTTACTTCTACCTAAAGCAGAATTCAGTAATCCATGCATTTTCACTGTCCCTCCACAGTTTCAGCAGTAACTCATGCATACTGCCAATATTAAAAAGAAAGGCATTTACAAATGTAATAGTTTCTTAAAAGATGGGAAATAAAGAAGAATAAAGCCTTTATTTAACATGCAGTAAGTTTTAAAACTATTTAGATTTCCATGCATTTGGGGAAATTCCTATGTATTTCCATCATCTCGCCTTTCTACCCATAGGTGAAGTGTCATGCTCATTGAAGGTAAGCAGATCTAGCTAGCACTGTGGCAGCCCTTAAAAGCTGACAGGGAACATCAGCCATGCAAACCTGGGGCGCTGCCAGTAGCCATGATCTACCTCAGCTGGAATCAGAGGGCAGCATTTGTAAAGATTATGCTACACTTTCTGAGCAGGTGTGCCAAATACAGCAGCTGAAATCCTGCAAACACAATGCCTGCCCCTGCCTGAAATCATAAATTTCCCAAACTGAACATATTTGAATTCCCAGATACCCATTGATTGTCAAGCTATACTTTAGCCCTTTATTGCAGAGGAGAAAGGATTGGTCTGTAATGGACTATCTTTGCTACCATTGCTTTTCAATTCTACTACTGTTTTTCCTGGAATCGAAGAAAATCTGCCCCCAAATTAGATTTTTTCAAATGTTTTCTGTTCCCTTTACTCTGACAAAACTCGTAATGAAGCTTCATTTGTGCAATGCTGAGTCATCAACACATATTAAAAAATTGAAATGGAGCCTGACCTAAACAAGGATGTTCAAAGGTATGCAGAGAACACGAAGAAAAATAATAGGAGAAATTACAATTGCAACACCCATACAGTCTGGAGTCTTATATCTCCCACTAGAAACCACTATGCTTTTGGAAAAGATCAAGACAACTGCTACGCATCTCTCAATCAGGAACAAGTGATTCAGGGGAATTTTAATTCAGGTCCACAGTTAATCACAGAATTACCTTTCTAGTTTCCAAAGCATGATAATATGTGTGCTAACTTTACGATTTCCAGCACTGAATTTGGATATTTACTACTGCAGAGCTGGGAAAGAAGGAAATGGATCAGCACTTTGACCCAAATTCTGTTTTCCTTGCTTCCAGTCTTCAACAGGGTAAATCACTTGAATAAAAGGAGCAGAACACACTATTTAATTGAAAACCTTGTTTTCAAATTTAACTCATGATTCTCCATAGCATGAATTAAGTTTCAGAAATTCTGCAATAAACATTTAAAGTACAGATAAATGTTTTAAAGCTGTTCTCTCTGTTTAGTTTATCACGGTATGCCTATATTGTTATTGTTTCAACATATTAGTGATGAGGCATACCCTTACTACTTGGAGGAAATCTCTTCAGTTGTATTTTTTTTACTTAAAGTTTGACTCCTAACAATTCTTGGGGTTTTCTTCCTTGTTCTTTGAAGTTGTTTTTTGCTTTCATGTTGCTTGTTGGTTTTTTTTGTTTTGTTGGTGGTGGTGGCAGTGGTGTTTTTTTTTAATTCACTTGTTTTTGTTCACTGGCTGATTTCCACAAGAAAGAAAAGAAAGATCAAGAAAAAAATACGAAGACACAGAAGTGAAAAAAAATACTGGTAATTTCTTCTTTACTGGTAAAATAATGATGGTGCAATACATACAATCCCAAAATCAGAGAGACTGGAATTCTGGAGGAAACCCAAGGCCATCTGGTCAAAAGTTTAAATTTCAGGAGTTTGTCCTTGGCTACAACAGTTGTTGTTACTTTAAACAAAAAGAAGGTACGTGGGTTTATTTTTTAAGAAATTAACATATCTGTAAAACATTTTTAAAATTACATAACCTTCTGTTTTTGAATTCCTACCTCCTCTTTATTTATTTCCCTCTTTTAAACACCTCCTCTTTGCTAACAATCATAAAACATCATGAACCTGGATATGAAAAAATTTTCACCCAGAGTACCTAAATTGGATATATGATTAAAAAAATGGAAGAGGAAGATCTTCATCATAACCTGAGAAATTACCTTCAAATACTTCCCATCCTTCCCAGCAACAACAGAATGTAACCTAGGATTTCCATGTGATTGTGAAGGAAGCTAGTGAGAAGGTGTCTAGCTACCCTTGAGATGGGTTTCATAGTGAAGATCTGCTCCTTTCACATCTATAATAAAGCAATTAATAAAATAATAATTCTGAAGATAATCCCTGTGCTACTTCTTCAATTCTCCTGTGTGGAAAACACTGAAAGTTACAAATTTTAGTATACCAAGTATATTAAAATAAACCTAAATGTAACCCTACTCACAGTCCAAGTCCCACAAACTTTCATTAGTAACTTCTGTTCTTATGATTGACATTTCTGCCAATGAAATCAGCTGCTGGGGAATATATTATATGTAAAGACTGAGTACAAAATAATGGAGATACTATGTCTGTGAGAGGGCTCCATGCATTTTAATCATCTTAAAGTCCGATAGAAACATACCACACACTCACTTTTTTATTGATATAATATGGGTCCAGGTCTTCCAAGGGCTCGGACACCATTCCTGGAGGTATGTCACCATAAATAAATGGCAGTGTCTTTCCTGCCTCCAAGTCGCTATTTGGCTTTGGGCCATCTTCGTCATCATCATCTTTGCGTTCCTGTTTGGATTTTTTAGCTTTTTCTTCATTGACACGCTGCTCAATAGCTGCAAGGGATTCTCTTGTGAAATAACGGAAGCTGTCAGGTCCTGGTGGTACCAGCACTGATTGTGCCATCTTTTCATCCTGCACCTCTTAATTACTGTTAAGCCTCTCTCATAAAAAAGTGCTAAAAATATAAAAAAAAAAAACAACAAAAAAAATTTAGAGCAACACAAGTAGCTACAAACAATGTAAAGTAATATACCTTCATGGGATCTTCTGTGGGACATCTCGTTAAATTCAGGATTTATCATCCAAGAGGATGCTGCTGTGAAGTGGATTTTTTAAATTTGTTTTTATTTCACAACAAATCACTTTCTGTTGCAGCTGCCCTCTCAGAGCTGTCCTGAAGGTATCAATTATTAAACATTTAGTTTAAAATTCACTTAGTGCTTGTGATGATTGCCAGTTCTATAGACTATGTAGAAAAATGTCACATATAATATAACAACATCTTCTTGCCTTTATCAAGGGTAATGCTATCCATTCCAGGGAATAAACTACGAGATATTTTCCACCATATTCAGTGTGAGGAATCAACAGTTCTGAAGTGTTTGCAGTTCAGTGTTGAGAACTGAGACTCTAGGCAATTCACCTTCTTATGATCCTGAAAGCTGCACCCTGGACCAACTCTTCCTTCAGCTAGAAGGACCAGAAATGACTCCCAGATTCTACTGCTGCCATGTAAGGCAGGAGGGATCAGTTGAAAGCACTCTTTGGGTACAAATATGCTGCCTTTGCAGAGCTGCCAGCTCAGGAAACAAGATTCAGGCGTAAGTACCTGTATTCAGATCCCCTGCCTGGCAACACACTGTGCACTGGAAGAATTGCTGAATTAAGCAAAAATTATCTTTAATCATTACACACCGCACTTAGATCTTCCACGTCTGATACCATATCAATTGTGTATATTTTTCACAATTCTCACTAACAAGAACAGAACCATCTCTTCTTAATGTCTCTAGACAGTTCAGCTAGAAAGAACAAGTGGAAAATATTCCCAGTGCAAATACTTTGATCTGAAATCACAAACGGGATCTCTGGCATAGCCTTAAAGAATTTTTCTCAAGAGTCCTTCTCCCGAGTAAGCACATCTAAAATATAGCAAATGCAATAAAAAGTAACAACTTCTGAGTAACATGATATACCCAAGAAAAAAATTCTCAATTAAAACAACAGTTAAAATACATTAAGCATGATCCTATTTTACTGTGTAGCTGAATACACACACTCGAGCACAGCTGCAACAAATTCGTATTTTTGAAGCCTGCTAAATAAACTGCAACACAATGCCTTCTCCTCCTTTTCAACCATATGCACACAGCCATTTACACCTACACAGACAACCACACACATCCCAACTCCTGCAGGTCTCCCTACGAACAAGCTCTTCCACTGCGGGCAAATGCACCTGGTGCATTCTGTCATGGACGGTCTGTAGCAAACTGCTGCTGGAGGCTGCGCAGCCTACTGGCAGCAGAAGGGTTAACTAGGAAAATGAGAGTGGTCATGCAGCAGAATCCTGTTAGATTGCATTGTTAATCACAGAAAAAGAAAGAAAAAAGAAAAGAAAAAAAAAGGCACAATCCTGTTTTAATACTGCAGGAAAGAATTAAAAATTCATTACCAGCGAAGAATCTTGCACTTGTGGGTTTGGAAAGGCACCAAGGAAGACTGCAGCTAAAATTCCATCATGTCTTTTTCGTTTTTGCTTTTTTCTTTTTTTTTTATATCTCTTTTTTTCCCCCCCCCCCAAAGTCTCCTACAGACCACACCTACC